CATGGTCTCAGAGGGTTCAGTTCATGGTTGGCTGGCTCCAAGGCAGAAATGTCATGGTGGAAGAAAGTTGCTCACCTCCTGGCAGACAGGAAGCTGAAGAGACAGGGAAAGAACCAGAGAGGAAGGGGTCAGGGGTCAGATACAGTCCCCAAGGCTATGTTCCCATTCCCCACTCAGGCCCACTCAGAAGTGTACTTCACTACTCTCCTAGGCATGACTCAAGCCAGTCAGGCTGAGAATCAAGATTAACAGCCACAGCCTCTATACATTGTGTACATGCAGTAACCTGGGATTCTCCCCCTACAGATTCAATCAACTGTGGACCAAAAGTATTCAGGAAAAAATTTGCATCTGTACCAAACATGTACAGACTATTTTCCTTGTCATTATTCCCTAAACAATAAGGCATAACAACTATTTACATAGCATTTACATTGCATTAAGTATTGTAAGTAATCTAGAGATGATTTAAAGTATACAAGAGGATACGTGTAGGTCATATGCAAATGCTATGCACGCCATTTTCTAAAAAGGACTGGAACATCTGTGGAACTGGGTCTCTGAGGACTCCTGGAGCCCACCCATGGGCCATAGAGGATGACAGTGTGTAGCAAAGAATTAGACTTTCCAGGGTCAATGAAAGATGAAGCTAGAGCAGGGCTAGGGGGCAGGGGAATTTTTGCCACTATCTTCCTCTTTGGACATCATCTTTTATTTCATGTTTAACATTTATAAACCAGTAAGTTGAATTGGGCCATCATGAAGAACTATCGTTGTTTTATGTTCTAGTCTAGTCTTTGAAGAAAGCTCATGGAGAATAGTTGGCTTTCTATGTGCTATTTTATTTTCTTGACGTGGGTTCAAAAAAATGTGAGATTGTTCAACTTAATAAAATTGAGAGAGAGAGAGAGGAGAGAGAGGTAGGGAAGGAGAGAGAGAGAGGAAGACAGAGGGAGAGAAAGAGAGCGGAAAAGAGAGAGAGGGCTCTCCTCCGGGAGGTCTAGTAGGATACATATTTACTATCATGAGAAGAGGAAACAAGTAGGACCTCCTCTCCTGCGCCTGTAGACATCACCTCAGAGACTAATAGATATTTACTTATTCCCATCGGTCTCACTGTGTTTAATATTTATCCATCACAGGGAGCTACCGCACATTAAATGTCAGCCCGCACATTAAATGCTCCAACAGCTCGCCACTATGTGCAGCTGGGATTTTGCCCTCGCACACGGGGGTCCCCGGCAGAGCTGTGCCCTGGTCTCAGCAGTGCTCCAGCTGGCCATTGGCAGGTTCCAATTTCCCCAAGAGGCCTGACACAGGGCCCTCCAGCTGGGTGTTGTGTTGGGGTGTTGGTCACTGCTGGGGACAGTCGGTGGCCCCGGTGGAAGGGCAGAATGGTGGATGCCCTAGCTGTTACATGGCTTGAGTCTGCATGTGACCCCCACAGAGCTTTCTGTACACCCACATCCTCTCTAGATGAGTTGTCACAACTGATGCAGTGCAAGTGCTATGGAAATAGTTGCTGCACTGCAATTGTTTAGGGAATAATGGCAACAAAAAAGTCTGTACATGTTCAACACAGACACGATTTTCTTCCTGCATATTTTTGATCCACAGTTGGTTGAATGTACAGATGTGGGGGTTGAAGATTTAGCTCAGCGACACCACACCTGCCTCACAAGTGCAGGGTCCTGTGTTAGATTCCTGGTACCAAAAACAAAAACAAAAAAGGACGTACAGATGTGGAAGGAGCAGATACAGAGGCTGACGCTGTGTGTTTGTGTATGCGCATGTGCACGTGAGATCTACCTGAGGTGTGAAGGCCTTACTTGGGTGTCAGGCTGCCTGCTCCAGAGACCACACCACCATGGGGTAGAGCTCAGACACCTACATTTTATCTGAAAACACCCCAAACTTTGAAGTACAGATTCTCCATGACATCTGAGATCCCTCCTGGTCAGTTCCCAGCTCAGCCTTTAAGGTGAAGGGTGTAAGGTTGAGCCAGCCAACTACTGTAGCGACCGGTAAGCTCAGTGGGGATCCTCACCCCGGCACTTGGATTCAGGGGAGGGGACGAACATATGGGATGGCCACCAGGACCCAGATAGAGCAGTCGAGAGGTTCCCAATCACAGCTCCAATCTCTCAGGGCCAGCTTGCTGCAGGTTTCAGCAAGGTCTTTCCACCAGCGTGCAGAGCAGCCACTGATGTCAGAGCAAACCCTTGCGGTCCCTACTGTGCAGGACCCCGGAGGAGTCCCATCAGGTGAGCCCAGGATCTGCGGTCGAATGAGTCACGGGACACTGAAAATGTCCAGGACGTGTTGGATTATAGAACCGAGGAGAGATGAAAAGTAACTGCAACAATTTCCCTTGGAAATGAGGCAAATCGCTGGATAGCGTCCACAGCACTGGGCAACGCTCCCTCCGTGTGAGCTGACCCTTGGCTTCCTAAGCTGCGGCAGGCAGTTCAAGTGTCGAATGCTCAGCACAGGGCCTTTAGATAGAACTGAACGTTACAAAAGTTGCAGTAATTACTATGAGTGTCCAGTGTTTGCTTTTCTTCTTTGATGGCTAATAGAAAGGAGGGAGACGCTAGTCTCAGAGCGGTGAGATTTGAAGAGACAGCACCGCAGGCCAGTCTGGGGCCTTATGATCTCTGTGGACCCCCCTCCCACGGATCACACGGAGGGCCCAGAGCATCCCACACTCATTCCGTCCGGTTCCTTCCCTTCAGTAAACGGCATTACAAACAAATGTACATAATTACAAATAAAATGTTCCCAAGCAGTTCGAAATAAAATAAAGTGTAATTACTAATGATATTTAAATGTTGTAGATATTTTATTTTTTAAAAAATCCCCTTAATTTAAAATGAAGTATGACTTTAATTGAAAATATGCATTGAGCTGGGCAAGATGTGGCTGGGCTCTAGGCCAAGGTCTCCTGCTGCCTTGGAGGGAGGATGGGGGCTTCCGGCCCCAGGGCGGGGTCTGCAGGGAGGTGTCGGGGGAGGTGAGCACCTTCCAGACACCCTAATCTTCTCTGGGAACATAAACACATTCTGGGGACATTTTGACAGAGCAAAGGTTATGTCCTGGCTCCACTACTGACACACCAATTGGCCAGGTTCCTCCCTGCACTGCTCCGTGCCTCAGTTTCCTCTTGTGGAAAGCAAAAATGCTGACCCCTCCCTGAGGACAGTTTGATGATTCAAAACTGTGAATAGTTCCATAGTGTGGGCACCACCTCCAATAAAACCACAAATGCTACCAGCTTGCATGTGGCATCGTATCTACTGTAAGCTCTGTGATGACTGGAACCATACTGATACTTTGCTCTTTTGTGACCCAGCATTTAACTGAAAACCTAGTGCATAGTAGATGCTCAACAACTAACCATATCAGTATTGGACTAAGTGGATGACTCATGCCTACATATTAACGTTGGAAGAGGTAATGCAGATCATCCAGGTTAAACCACACTGAAAGGCTGGACACATGCATACGCGGTGATTGAATAGTTTTTGCTTGGTTGCCTCCAAGGATGCAGAGCTCACGAATCCATGCCTATAGCCAATTTTCGTTATTAAGAACTCTTACTCTTGAAGAATCCCTTCATCCTGGTCCCTTCTAAGTTCTGTAAATTGGGCCTCTCTCTGCCCTTTTGGACCACACCGAAGAGAACAGGTGGTGGTTAAATTGTGAGCCTGGGATGGGTGTCACAGTTCAGACCCGAGCCCTGTCACTCAGCCCCTGTGCGATAATGGCTAATTTACTGTGTGACCTTAGGTTGGTGACCTGGCCTCTCTGAGATTCAGGGGTCTCAACTGCAACTGGAGTTCTCTGCTCAAAGGACAACCAAAGCCCACAAATGATCCTAAGAGGGAGCCCGTGGCAGTGGATCCAGTCCACCGAGGGAGCGCTCCCAGGGTGGGGCGGGGCTCCTCATCCCTGGTCCCTGGTTGAGCAGCCCTTGACGGCAGTCCTGGCGGGATGGAGAGCTCCAGGTTCTTGCCCTCGGCGGCCTCTGCCTCACCTCGAAGGCCTGCCAAGTCTGAGAGGAAGCTGTGTCGCCCAGAGCCAGGGAGTTTGAATCACCTCAGAGGAAACAGTTTCCACTTAATGAGACGGCGTCATGTGCCGTTCGAGGAAGGGGGCTGCTTCTCCATAACTGTCTGAGCCTCACTCACACCTCACCTGGACAGCGGCACTGGCCTCTTCCGTCCTCGCCCCGCCGTGCCCTGGGTCCCTCTCAGCCAGGCCCTGCTGCATTTCTTCATCCCTGCCTCCCAGCACCTCTGGCCTCCTCCCACTCCCTCCTTTAGCTGTGGCCTCCTCCTTCCCTCTGCTGGTACCAAGCTCCTCCCCTACACTCCCCCAGGGCCTTTGCATGTGCAATGCCTGCTGCATGGTCTGCTCCCGCTGGTTCCTCACATGGTTTGTTCCTGCAATGTCACAATTCATGGAAGGTGTCCCTGAACCCATCCTATCCAAGCTGCTCCCTCCACATCTGTCACCTCCTGTCTCTCACCTTGCTTGGTATTCTTCTCAGAACTTCCCAGACCCTGAAGCTATATCTTTTTATTGTTTCTTGTTTGCTCTTTTTCCCTGAGTAACTGCGATCACCATCATCATCTCTAGATTGAAGAAGGTTGCAGAGAGAAGATGACCTTGTCATTGAAGCCATCAGCTCTAGTGTAGCATTGCCACATCCTCACTGCGTGTCCTTGGGCAAGTTACCTGGCCTCTCTGAGCCTCAGTTTCTCCATCTATAAAATATAGATAGTTCTTACCTTTTAGGGCTGGATTCAAATTAGTTTTAATGCATCGCAAAGTCTAATACGAAGTAAGAACTTCAGAGATACCAGATATTCTTTATGTTTTTCTCTTCAGTTCCAGGGACTAAGCCCAGGGCCTTCTCATGGAGCAGCTGCATCCTCAGCTTTTTTTAATTTTTTCTTCTGAGTCAGGGTCTTGCTAAGTTTCTCAGTTGCCAAGGCTAGACTGGAACTTGCCATCCTCCTACCTCAGCCTCCCAGAGTGCCGAGCTGACAGATGTGCACTGCCAAGCCTGGCTCGGGCACCCTTCTCACCCCTCCCTTGGGTGGGTGGTTGGCAGTCCTGAGAGCTCAGGCTCCCTCGAAGCCCACTGCTCACCCTGCCAAAGCAGATGCCCGGTAAACCCGGCAGCTGAGTGACAGAACTGCTCCAAAGAACAAACAGATCGTCCCACTGAGCCTCTCAGTACCACTTTGCTCAAGGGACACAGGAGTTTATAAGGATGGAAAAGGGGAAACTTCGAGATGTAATACCTCGGAACTGATTGCCACGGTCACATAACTGGCACCACCATTAGGTTTTAGAGAATCCACTTCTTTTTTGCTTGATGTTGGTAAAGCAGGGATGCCATTTCTTTGTCTGATAATTAAAGTACTACATTACTGCTGTGAAATGGTTAGTTACCGCAGAATGTATAACAAAGCAGGAAACAACAATGTCTTACCACTTAGAAATGCCCAGACGTCATTTTTTCTAAGTCATTTTCCCACACACTCAAAAAAAAGCAAACATTAGTAAGTTCACATTGCATACAGATTTTCATATACTAATGATTTGATTTTGCATTTTCCTTCCATCCTGAGAATTTTCTCACATAATTAAAAACATCTTTTCCCTGTCATATTCAGTCATAATGTTTCTATGTAGCTGTATCAAGATCCTCTGTTGTCCCTTTTGGAGGGCTGCCCCCCAACTTTTATTATTGTAAGCAAAACCACAGTGAACACCTGTGTCCTGTGTCACCCCTGTATCCTGATATGTTTCTAGGCCAGATCTGATCAGCAAAATGATTAGATCAAAGAACTCCAAAATGTTTAAGACATTTGCTCAATTATTTTTGCTATCAGATGTGCTGTAGACAACATTACATCCTCTTGTTTATTCATTTAACATATAATTAAACATTTAATATGCTCAAGGCAATTTTTACCTTCAAGGAGTAAAATGAAGTCTCCATTGACTCATCCATTGATTGATGGGTTGATGTATCCTCCATCATCCATCCATCCATTCATCCATCCATCCACCTATCCAACTGTCCATCCATTGCTCCATCTGTATCACCCCCTTCTCCATTGCTATAACAAAAATACCAAAAATTTACAATGCAGAAAGGTGTATTAGCTCACGGTCTGGGGCTGAAAAGCCAACCAGCATGGTTCAGGTCCTGGTGAGGCTCCTCCCCTGGCTGTGTGAGTCAGAGCAGGGGGCATCGAAGGGGCAGGGATCCATAGCATGGTGACATGGGAAGGCAGAGAATAACTGGGAAGGGCTTTTCTGTAGCAGCCTCTCAGAAGAGCTAAGTAGGGTCCCATGAGAGCTACCTTAATCCTTCTGGAGGGTGATGCCTCAGTGACCTGGTCACCTTGCCTGGGGCCCAACCTCTTAATGTTCCTTTGACTGCTCACATGGCCACACTGGGAACCAAGTCTCTAGCACACAGCCCATTAGAGGCCACGTGACCCATACCTGCACCATAGCAGCAGCTAACCAGCCAGCCATCTGTTCTTCCTTCCATCCACCTATCTGCTGTGTTTTCTGTTCAAAAGGTGACTGGACTTACATACATAGAACTCACATGCATGAAAGCATAGATGTGGACCCTGTCAACGTTCCACATATGACTTGCTAGACCTTTACATGGGACACACCCAGCCCAAGGCTTAGAACATGTCCAACACCTCAGAAGGAACCCTCTGTCCCCGCAATTGACTTCCGGAGGTGACATTCTCCTGGCTTCCTGTGCACATCCAGGTGCTGGTGAGACCACGCTGGGAGGAAGCAGTGTGGATAGCTCTGTATCATGGGTGGGACATCACATCATTGCGTGGAGACTCAGTTTCCCTCCCTGGCTCCCCTCCCCTCCCTCCTTCTCTCCTGCTGCTTTCCATCCTTCCCTGCCCCCTCTTCTCTGCTGTGGCCCATCTATTCCATGTCCCACCCTATGCCTGGCTGCTGCCACACTGAACTCGGGAGGTTCATGACCTTGAGGGGACTTTCAGGGACAGAGGTCTTCAGGTCCTGGAGGTGAGTGTGGTCGTTAAGAGGCTGCCACACACAGGGGCCTCAGGCAGGGAGATGGAGTCTGCTCCCTCACGTCTGTCTGTCCGTCTGCCCACCCCGAGTGCAGGGTGGGCCCCAGAGCCTGCTGCCCTCTTCCCAGCCCCAGATTTCCCTCCCTCAGCCCTGCAGGAGCAGCTACTCTCTCTCCCTCCACCAACAGCCAACTGCCTCCCCGCCGGGCGCCAAGCAGCTTCTGAGAAAGGGAAAACACAGCCAAGCGTTGGGAGCCGGGCGCGGGCAGCTCACACAGGCAGCTCACACTCTAGGCTGCCGTGCGGGGCAGAAGATTGCACCTCCCTTGGCAGGGATCCCCGAGGTCTGCCGTGGGGCTGCACGGCCCAGCGCCCTGCCTTTTGCCTCCCCGAAAGGAGGCCAGCCTGAGCTAAGTCCCTTGCGCTCCTGAAAAAACACACTGCATGTGCAGTCAGAAGACTTAGATTTGAGTGGGCTGTGTAGCTCAAGGGAAGAGCCTGCCCCTCTCTGGTCTTCTGTTTTGCTAAGCCCAAAACAAAGACATTTGACTAGTTCCCTGCGGTGTGTTCTAAATATGGCAACCAATTTTTATTCATCTGTAGGTCTTTCTGTCAAAGGGTCATTAGTTATGAGTCCCAAATACAGATTATTTTTCTTTGTAAACTTCATCTTTTGCCAGCAGAGAGCTCCCAGTTGCTCCGGGTGTCCCATAAGGTCAGCACAGGAGCTTCCAGCGCCCCCGCAGGCCACGGTGTGTTGGAGGCTCTGCGGGTCACCTCCTGCCTGGCCACCCAGCTCCCCTCACGTGTTTTTCCCGGCCTCCTCTTCTCCTCCCTTTTCTTCAGGGCTGCTGTGGGCTCTCTGCTCTCCCTCCCTCTGCTCTTCTGTGCTGATAGACAGCAAGTCCTCCCTGAGTCCCTCAGTGACTGCACCGGAGACAGCCTCTGGAGGTACTGCGGCTGCAGGGAGGGCACAGGTAGGCTCTGCTCTCCTCGGACTGCTGTCCTGCTAGAAGAGAAGTCAGCTGCCTCTCTCCCTCCCAGCCCGTAAGGATGCGCAGGCTGAGAGGACAGCCCAAGGCGGCCAGGGGGCCAGGCCTCCACGAGGGCCCCGAAGGCCTCTGCTCGGGGAGTGTCCACTGCTCTCAGGGGTCTATCCTGCTCCTGGGCCTCCATGTCCTAGGTGTTACCTCTGATGCTGCAGGCTCCCTGACCATGGGGTGGCTGGGTCTGCAGGGCTGAGATGCACACGAGCCGAGCCCAGCCCATCCATGGCAGTTAGCGCTCAGAAGCCCCCACTCATGGCATTCGAGGGCTTGTCGGCCCCCAGGGCCAGTCCCAGAGTTCCCCACAGGCAGTGTTAGGGAGCCAGATGCCTTGGCCTGTGTCCTGGCTCCGACCCTTCCCAGCCTGTGCCCTCTGCTCCTGCCAGAAGGGTGATTTCATTCACCCCACGGGGCACTGAGAGGATCCTGGGAGCTAAGGGAACCTTCGGGCAGGGGAGTCCCGGGGGAGTGGTAATTGCTGCTGTCACCCCCATTTTACAAATGGAGAAAGGGGGCCCAGCTCCAATCTAATCATGCAGTCACAATCCACACTGGGTCCCTAGATTCCAACCTCCTAGAATGCCACCTCCTTTTGTTTTTATTTTTATTTTTTTGCAGTACTGTGGGTTGAGTCTAGGGCCTCACGCCTGCTAGGCAAACACTGCACTGCTGAGCTATACTTTAGTGTTTAAATTTTTTTTTTTGAGGCAAGGTCTTTCTAAGTTGCCCAGGCTGGCTTTGAACTGGTGAGCCTTCTGCCTCAGCCTCCCGAGTAGCTGAAACTACAGCCATGTGCCATCACACCTGGCAACACCTGCCTCCTTTCATTTGCAGTCTTCTAACTCTTCATCCAACAAGATGTTTTCATCTTCCCAGTGTCCCTAGCACCTGCACCATGACATCCAAATCTTCCTGGGGCTCTCAGACTCCACCAAGACCAGATGCGGGTACCTATGCTGCAGACTCCCCTCCTCCCCTTCTATGTGATGCTCCCCTGCATCTGACAATGACAGTTCCAGAACCTAACACCTCTTGCCGGCCTCCATGTCCTTGGCTTCTCTCTGCTTTGTATCCCCCAAGGCCAATTTCAGACATCACCGCCTCCAGGAAGCCTTCCTGGTTTTCCCTTCAGTGTTTGCCACCTTTGCACTTATTCCACAGCAGCCCTATCCACAATGTCCTGTGCAGGTCTTCTTGCCATTTGTGCCCCTGAAGGTACAGGGGTGTCCGAGGGCATAACAGCACTCAAATATTGATTGCACGGAAGCGGGCTGTTGCCATGGTGTCACATCCTAAACTCCCGGGAGCATCCTTTTATTTCACTATTATGTCTCTTTCAGCCTTTCTTATCAGTGTCTTTTGAAAAGCCAAATCACCTAATTTTCATTAGACCAATATATTGTTCTTTTCATTTATATAGTTCATACAGTTTTCACCTCTTCCTGTCTTAAGAAATTTTTTGCCAAACTCAAGGTCACTAAGAAGTTCCTCCTGTGTTTTCTTCTAGATTCATATTTCTTTCTTTCTTTTCTTTTCTTTTTTTTGGTTTTTTTGAGGCAGAGTCTCACCATGTATTCCAGGCTGGCCTCGAACTTATAGGGATCCTCCTGCCTCTGCCTCTTGAGTGTTGGAATTACAGGCATGCACTACCACGCCTGGCTAGATTCATATTTCCTGGAGTCAGGCACAGCTGTCTGTGGTGTTTGTCTCCGTGTCTGTAGTTCTCAGCACTGGGCCTGATATGTAAGCCAATCAGTGAACAAATGGCTGGGTGGGTGGACAGTGGGTGAACTTACACCCATCTGCCTCCCTCTCTCTCCAAACTGAATCCATGAGCCTGGAGTGAGGGAGGGGAGCAGGGATGGGTAGAAGCAAAAACAAAAACAAAACAAAGTGCCCCAAACCATTCGTTCTCATAAAAATTTAGCTGAGACCCATCTTGATATTTTAAAAGTGATCCAAATTTTGTATTACACAAAATCCTGTATAGAAAAGAACTAACCCTAAAAAACAAGGCCTGAAAATGAGACTCTATTAAAACTTTAAAACATTTCTTCCTCGGTGGAAAGGCAAGCCTCAGAGTGGGAAAAATATTTGCCCTACATACAACTGACAAAGATTTGTATCTACAGTAAGGAAAAACAAAACAAAACAAACTAACTAACAAAAATAAAGGACCCAAAAGAAAATGTGTAAAAACGTATGACTAAGTGCTTCCCTGAAGAGGGCAGACAGATTGTCAGTGAGCACACAAGAAAGTGTGCAATCTCATGCATCTCCAGGAAAATGCTAGTCACAGCACAATGAAACCCCACTCCCATCCACCAGGGTGGCTTAGACTCCAAAACTGATAATACCAAGTGTTGGCGAAGACACAGGGCAACCAAAACTTCTAGGCTGATAGTAGGAATACAAAATGGGACAGTCACTTTGGAGAGCGGTTGGTCTATGTCTCCTAAAGCTTAGCTGCACCCACCCTACAGTCCAGTGGCTCTACTCCTAGCCACAGGCCTTGGAGAAATGTCTACCTGTTCCCCAAGAACGTAGGACAGCATTCGCAGGGGTGTGTGTGTCAGTCTCCAAACTACAAACTACCCAAATGTCCTCTAGGGTGTATGTGCAAATTGTGGCATGTTTGCACAGTTGAGTATCATCTAGAAATGCAAATGAGCTAGGTGCGGTGGTGCATGCCTGTAATCCCAGCTATTCAGGAGGCTGAAGCAGGAAGATTGCACTTTTGAGCCCAACCTGGACACTGTCTCAAATAAAAAACTAAAAAGGGCTGAGGGATATAGCTCAGTGATAAATATCCCCTGGGTTCAATCCCCAGTACTAAATAAATAAATAAACAACTTCAACATGCAACAACACAAATAAATGTCACAAAACAAGATTGAGCAAAAGAAGCCAGACTCAAAAGAGAACACACTGTGCAGTGTGATTACATTTACATGAAGTTAAACCGGGAAAAGCCAGCAGCCCAGGAAGATGGGAGTC